GGTTCTCCGGCTTGCCCCGCCTCCCTCCCTGCAAGTTCAGGGGTCGCAAAAGTCCTGTATCTGCAGAGAAAAGTCACCCGAGTGACTTTACCTGGGTGGGAATTAGGAGTTTACTTAATTAAATGTGCCTGTGAGGACACCTTTCTCAGAAGTTCTGAACGTCCGCTGCCTCTTCCCCTGTTCTGGCCCCCTGAAATACGGGATTGATTTTTTTTTTTTAATTTTCTGTTGAAACACACTGCTCATCTTGTCCCTCGTCCCTTTCTGCCTTTCCCACCCCAGCCCCACCATCCTTTCCGTTCCTGTCTGTAGCAGGGGGCATATGTAGGTCTCTTGAGTAGCAAGTCACCCTAAATCATAGAAAACACAAACTGCGATCCGTCTCTGGGACCTGAGGTAGGGTAGCTGTGGATGCCAGACTTTTGTAGAAGCCAGCGTCCTGAAGTAGGCCTCTTCCTCACCTTCCACTCCACTTAATGAGGAAAAAAAACAAACAAACAAGAAATTCATATTCTGCCCACCTTTATTTGTAGAGTGGTGGAACCGAGTTAGGACTGTGAGCGCCTGTGTGCACGTGTGCTTTGACTGTAGTTGAGCATGAAGCCACAGCCCACACTGGTCAGAATCTAAAGCCAGGTCATGGAATCCAGACCCCCTTCCCCTTTTGTAACTCTTGAATCAATAACAGGAATGCTGAGAAGCCGAACTTGCTTCCCTGTGACTTTTTACAGAGCATGGTACACTGGCCCCTCAGACTGGCCCTCCCGCCCTTGACTGTGTTCCCTCACCCGGAACGGACTGGGAAGTCCTCCCCAGTTCTAACCCCTTCTGCTTTCAGCACTAGACTCTTGCATTGTGCCGTTCTGTTCGGGTAAATAAATCCTTTTATGGTGTTGAAGTAGACACACTTGCAGCCCAAGAGAAGTACTCATCTGAAAACTGTCTACTGAGACAAGTAGAGAGAACTAAATAGCGCTGAGCAGGCAGGCGAGGTCCCTCTTGAAGGGACCTAAACATAACGGTTGGAGAGTCCTGGAGCAGCTGAGGGAAGGCTTGAAGGAGACTGTACTTTGAGGGTCACTGCTACAGACAGATGCCACAGACAGCTTTCATCACAATTTTCTTGCTTTCCACTTTTTTGTTTGTTTTAAAAAGCCGCAGCAAGTGTCACTGTGTATCTCCTGTCTTCCCTGAACTTCATAATGCCAGGAAAAGCAGTGCGCAATCAGGAAGGGCTTCCTACATGTCAGAGGGAAACCAGAGGGCAGTGAAAGGCTAAAGAAACTAAACAAGGCTTTTTTTTTTTTTTTTTTTTTTTTTTTTTTTTTTTTTTTTTGGCAGAACCTGGGGATTGTCCAAAAGGCAGAACCTGGGGACAAAGGTGCAGGATTAATTGGCTAATAAGCTTTATGTCAAAGAAGAACTACGGAGCAGAGAGATGATAGGATGACCTCAGCCTAGAGTGGCTGCTGTCCTCTGAGTCAGGAGCATCTGACTAGTCCTGGAGCCAGATGCCCCCTACTGGGGAGGGCATTGGAAAAGAGGGAACTGCTCCTTATTATGACCCTTCTTCAGAACCAATTCCGTGGTCCAGTGGACCCGGGCTAAGGGTGAAGCTGCCAAAAGACACGGTTTATTCTGCCTGTAAACAAAAGCTGCAGTAAACCAATAGACTGACGACATTAAAACCAAGAGCATAGTATTTGCAGGTCACATGCTGATGCAAAGACGAAAACGTCCCTACCCATTGCATTGTTTCTGTCAGTCTTTCTTGGGAAAGCAAGGAAGCCCTTCCATGTGTGCTGTTGGTCATTCCCCACTCTCCAAAGGCACCCTTTAAAAGGGCTGGGATGTCTTCTAGTCAGCAGATCCACACCTCAGGGTGGCTTCCTGGGAGAGGAAGTTAGGTTGATAAAGTGATGCTTTGTGTGTATGTGGACCCCGAGAAGAAAGGGTTAATTTGGAAGATGTAGTCATAAATGAGACTTTGGGAATTTGGTGTGAGAAACAGACAGAATACAGCACAGAACAAGGTGCCAGGGGCGCCCATCTTTTCTGGGCACTGGCATTTACTTATTCTACTGCCTGACTCACCCAGTCTCCTACCCATGCCCTTTCTGACCTCTGCCAATGCCTCCTGCTCCCAGAGTGCCTTATCAGCCATGCCCAAGCAGGGGGAGCTCCCTCCCTCCCTTCCCTCAGGAAAACAGAACAAGTGAGTCTTTCCCCTGCCGCACACACCCAGCTCTTCCTCTCCAAGCCTTCTGGTCTCTGCTGATAGTCTCTTTGGGGAAGGAGCCAGAGAGGAGGGCCCCGTGTCACAGCCTGGGTTCCTGTGAATTGTTCTTGAATGTTCCTTGTGGCACCTGGTCCCACGTCCACCATAATGTTTAAGGCCTCTGGTCATTTCCCAGCCAAAAGCCCAGGAGCCCTAGAATGGGAAGAACCCTAGAGAACTGAGCCTTGCCAGACAAATGGAGATAGATGTGTATGCCCTTTGCTCCCACACAGCACGTGTAATCAGCAAATGAAAAGGATGGGCAGATCAGCTACAGGCTGGTAGAGGTCTGCCAAGGGAAACATTGGGCTACTTAGACACGTTTGCTCAGTTTCGACTTTTCCCCGGGGAAACATGACCAACTAGTTCCAGGCATATTCCCAACCAAGTAGAGGAGGGTGGCCAGCCTGCTGATCAGGAAAAGTCTCCGATAAAGTCCTTTAGAAGAGAAAGCAGGTGGGAAGGAACACTCTTGTGAACCATAATATTCCCTGAGGCCAGAAGCAGCCCTTTGCCATTCCCAGGTGTTGGCTGCCTTTTTCACCTTCTCCTGGACTGTTAATGGCCACTTGCATCTTCCTTACTTGGGATGATCGGATCAGCCTATCACCATGTCCCTTTAAGGACATGTAAAGCCGTGTCCTTCAGAAACAGAGTGAGGGTCATGGGTAGAAGGAGGCACTGGAATGGTAGCTTGTAGGGCAAAGGGGTTAAACAGAATCCCACACAGACTCAGTTCTGAGTCCCATCCCCGGTTATATGCCTTGGGTGAGATAGCTTCCTTCTGTCACCCTTCCCTTTCTTCAGATGCAGAAGCACAGTAATTTTATCCTTATCACACCCCAAAACTCCCCTAGGTAAAAGATGAGAAAAATATCCAAGAGGTGTTTGACCTGAGTGACTATGAAAAGTGTGAAGAACTCCGGAAATCTAAGAGCAGAAGCAAGAAGAACCACAGCAAGTTCACCCTGGCCCGATGCAAGCAGCCAGGCACCACGGTAGGTCTGCCGGCTTGGCAGGCTAGGTGGGGAAATGTCCCTGCAGGCTCTCCCTCGCTGTAGTCTTAGCTGCAAGGCCCAGAACAGCCCCCAGATTTGATCTCCCTCTGGCTTTTATTATCTAACTGGCTCTGCCCCCTTTCCCCCTTTACACACACACACACACACACACACACACACACACACACAAGCCATGCTTGTCACACTCTGTGTCTTCAGACATTTAAAGATCTCTAATACCTAAGCTTTGTCACACCTACCCTAATTGTCTGCAGTGTCAAGTTCAAATCCAGTGTCACTCTTAGCTCATCCCTGATTATGTCTAAAACAACCTGTGCATTCTGCGGGAACAGACTCAGGGTTTCTTTCAGTCATTCATGATCCCAGACGCAGAGCCACTCTTTTCCAGGAGCTGGGTGCAAGGGATGAGATTATCACATCTCTTTCTTTATTTGTAAAACCCTAGCTAAAACAAGAAACATTCCCCTCACAGGCCCCCAACCTGATCTTCCTGGCGGTGAGTCCTGAAGAAAAGGAGTCCTGGATCAACGCCCTGAGCTCTGCCATCACCAGGGCTAAGAACCGTATCCTGGATGAGGTAGGGGCCTGTTGTGGGGAAAGGGACACTAGAGCAGAAAGCAAGCTGTGACTCACTAGAGGAGGAGGGGTGTGGGGGCCCCCTCTAGCTCTCCCCAACTCTACTTTCTCTGTGTCTTTGAAGGCCCCCTTGTCCCATCTTCTCTCTGAAGTCTTTGCTCACCCTCCTCTCCAGCTTCCTGCCAGCCTTGGAGCATCTGTGTCCATAAACCCTTCTGCCTGTGACCCTGCTCAGAAATAATTGGTGGGGTGGGCTTATTCTGCAGTCCAGGCAAGTTAGGGGTCGCCCAGCTGGGCCAGAGTCCTAAAGAAAACCTGTGACTCACAGTGCATTTCTTCAGGTCACCGTTGAGGAGGACAGCTTCCTTGCCCACCCTACTCGAGACAGAGCAAAAATCCAACACTCCCGCCGCCCTCCAACTCGGGGACACCTCATGGCTGTGGTATGTAAAACTGCAAGAAAGTAAACACTGCGGGGGGGGGGGGGGCAGCTCTGTGTCAGTCCACCTCAGCTGCGAACAAGCAGGAGCATTTGTGGGAGTCCTCCTCATAGGAGGATCAAAGGCACAGTCGGCCTGTCCACCCTCCATTCCCTGTCTGACTCCCCAAATCAAAATTGCTCACTCAGCACCTGCCCTGAGTCAGACATTGTGTTCTCAGTAACTTCTGAGGAAATGAGAAATGCCCCTAGGAAAGAGAAAAACAGAAGTGTGTGTGCAGAGTGATACATGCTGCTTGCCGTGTGGTGGCCAGCCACCCTCACGAGTGATGGTAAATGCTACTATGCCCCACAGCAAACCTTCCACTGCATGAAGTAGTTTCTCTCATTCAACCATGTTCCGGGTCTAGGGAGAGGCTGTGCCTGCAGGAGGAAGGACACAGGCTTTGGATTCAGCAGACCGGTGATCTCTAGGGCTACCAGGCTGTGAAGTGGGGTGGTGACGAGTCTTGTAGTGAGAAATGTCCAGAACGGCCCACGTGCAGCGGCATAGATGGGGCTGACTTCCCTTTACCGCTGCTACAGCATTTAGAAATAAGAGAACAAGGTCTGTTACCAAGCAAGAGTGCGGGTATCAGCGCAAGCTAAGGTGTGTGGCCAAGAGGGCGTGGATAGAGAATTCTCCTGTGTGTGTACCTTACTGTGAACTGTGGCCATCCCATGTGATACTTAAGAGTCCACAGCAGACACTTCTCAGGAGGCTTGTAGCAGAGCAGAGAACGCAGACTATGCAGGAGAAGGTATGTTACAGAAAAACAAAAGGAAGAACTTCAAGTCATCATCACAGTGATCTGAAATAGCCATGTCGAGGGGCTGAGTCAGGAGTGGGGGAGGCCAGGAAGGCATGTGCTAATGGCAGTTCCTCCCTTCTTTCACATTCTCTTTCCCAGGCCTCGACCTCTACCTCAGATGGGATGCTGACGTTAGACCTCATCCAAGAGGAAGACCCTTCCCCTGAGGAACCAGCCTCTTGTGCAGAGAACTTTCGGGTGGATCTGGACAAGTCTGTGGCCCAACTGGCTGGCAGTCGACGAAGAGCTGACTCTGACCGGATCCAGCCCTCACACCGGGCCAGCAGCCTTTCTCGGCCTTGGGAAAAACCAGACAAGGGAGCCACCTACACCCCCCAAGCCCCGAAGAAGTTGACCTCTACAGAGAAGGGCCGCTGCGCCTCCCTGGAGGAGATCCTGTCTCAGAGGGACACTGCCCCAGCCTGCAGCCCCCTTCACCTCCAAGCTGAGGAATCCCCAGCCCCCCTTCCCTCCCAGCCGGTGCAGCTGTCCCGGATCCAGGACCTGGTAGCAAGGAAACTGGAGAAGACTCAGGAGCTGCTGGCAGAGGTTCAGGGACTGGGAGACTGCAAGCGAAAGGCCAAGGACCCCCCACAGTCTCCACCCGATTCTGAGTCAGAGCAGCTGCTGCTGGAGACAGAGAGGCTACTGGGAGAGGCTTCGTCCAACTGGAGTCAGGCAAAGAGGGTCCTGCAGGAAGTCAGGGAACTGAGAGACCTGTACAGACAGATGGACCTGCAGACCCCCGACTCCCACTTCAGACAGACCTCCCAGCACAGTCAATACCGGAAGAGCCTACTGTGAAGGAGGGGGGACAGGTCTGGAATTTAGGGGGCACAGACTATCTCCAAATGTTGCAGGATAAAGCTTTTTTTATTTACCTCAATCAAAAAAAAAAAAAAAAATCAAACTCATTGCTCTTGCTGATGCCTGACCCGCTATGGCCTTTTCCTACCAACTCCCCTAGACAATTTGCTGGTCAGATCGGAGAAGGTGAGGCCTGAGGAGCTCTCACCACACGGAGTAATAAAACAGCGCTCACTGCGCACATGCCACCTGCTCCCAGGCCAGTCGGGAACAGGCGCGGATGCATACCCATCTGGGTTAGAGTGGCCCAGGAAGTGGCTTCCTCAGATGTCCCACTGCAGGTTCTCATTCTGAGGGTGAAATTTCAGCTGTGCAACTTGAGTTCTAGGGACACAGGGGCCAGTGCCACCTGTCCGTGCCATAAGAGAAGTGAAATGTACCCCAGGTCTGAGGAGGATATGTGGAGTTAACACTGGCTTCTCACCATGGTGTGTGTGTGTGTGTGAGAGAGAGAGAGAGAGAGAGAGAGAGAGAGAGAGAGAGAGAGAGAGAGAGAGAGAGAGAGAGAGAGAGGGGGGTGTAGGGAGGTGTCTCTAAGGCTGAGGCTATAGTGGTATAGTGCTTGCCTAGCACATGTGAGGCCCTTGTGCCCTCTCCAGCATTACAAAAACATTGAGCTGCCTCGGTTTTCTTATCTGAGGTGCTTTCTGTTCCTTCCACCAGAGATTCAAGGTACAAGCTTGAATAGATGAAACCGGCCTGGTCCTCTGTCTGGGCTGGAGTAGCACAGGAACTGGGGAGCAACTGATCCTGTGGAAGAACTAACCTAAAAATGAAACTGGCTTGTGATGGCAGCTGTGTGGGAAGGAGGGGAAGCCAGACCTGTACCCAGCTTCCTCTTTTTGCCAAGCAAGGGTTCCTTCTACCCGCCCTCCTCCAGCCTCCACCCTCCCAACAAACACAGCTTCAGAACAGCTCTCCCCATACCGCCACCTCCCCAACTGCCTGCTCTGTGGCAAGTCCCCCATGGCTGGCTCTCTAAGATTATTAATGCTAATGGTAAGGCCTAGAGTGGGGAACACAAGATCTGGATGAGTCATGAGATAAGAACATAGAGTCTCTAGAATCTGGCATACAGGGTTTAAAGATGGAGCATGAGTCCTTTGTCCTTGCTCCCCCTGAGGCCTCACCTCTGCTGCCAGGTCCCAGAGCTTCACTGGTGGTGAGAGGAGATAGATAGGACAAGCTAAGGGGGCTGGGGAGAGAATGTTGTTGACCTCTATTCTGTTGGGACTTAACCACCTTGTAAACAAGTTGGGGGAATCCTCCAACTAAACCATCAAAATGGGATTCTGGGTTTTCCAGCACATGTGAGTGATGGAGATTTGAACTCAGGTCCTTGAACAGCAAATGCCCTTACCACTACGCCATTCCCCCATCCTGCCCGAAGACAGGCTTTTGTTTTCTTAGTTCCCTGCTTTTCACTGCCATCAAAGTTTTCTCCATAGCTATAAAGCTATAGTTATCTAGAAACAAGGACCCCTCTTTTTTGATTTGGTTTGGTTTTTTTCAAGACTGGGTTTCTCTGTGGCTTTGGAGGCTGTCCTGGAACTAGCTCTTGTAGATCAGGCTGGTCTCGAACTCACAGAGATCCACCTGTCTCTGCCTCCCAAGTGCTGGGATTAAAGGCGTGCGCCACCAACACCCAGCTTCAAGGACCCCTCTTGAGCCAAGGAAAGTACACAAACTACCCTGTTACTGAATACCCAGGCACTCCTGGGGACAAAGTAAGGGAACCAGGCTTCCTGTCCCCTCAGAGGCTCCACTTTCCACTGCCCTAGCCCTGGTCTTGAGAGCCAGCCATTGCCACAAATACTGAAAGTTGGTTTAAAATTACACACTAAAGATGCCTTCCCATATTTTCATTTTATCAGCATTTTCCATTTTCTCTTTCTCCTCCTTGTCGCCCCCACATAACGAAGAAAAAAGGCAAAACAAGAATGACATATGTGTCCCAACATGCCAATCACAGGTGGTATCCAGGGGAGGGAAATACACACCCCCCAAAACCTCCCAGCTCCCCAGCCAGTGTTCCAGCATCATACCCTACGGTGCTAAAGTCAGCCTGGCTTGGAAACCACAGGGGGTCTGGATTCAAGCTCTGACTGTTACTTTTTGGTTAATCTGCCCTGGGTAAAACGGCTTGATTAGTATTTTCTCTGCAAACTACAAAGTTGTTGCGTAGTAAAGAACAGCCAGTGGTCTCTCCTCGTCTCTCCATTCATGGCTCCCAGGGCTGCGGTGACCAGTTTGGCTCAGTGAGTAGCGAACAGCAAAGTCAGGTGACCAGAACACAGCTTGAATGAGGCAAAGGCCACAAGGCCATCAGTACCACTTTTTCTCATCCTGGAATGGGCCACAGGCCATGCCCATCCCTCTCCGGAAGGAGGGCATTCGAGGTACCTCCAGGCACTGTGCTGAAGACAGCTGGAAGGAGGGAAGAGCGTGATTCCTGGTCTGCAACCATTTCAGAGCTTAACACAAAGCCACGTTCCACACTAGAAAAGCAACCTAAATTCTACGCTTGGGGTGGGCGGCTGCCGGCGAGATCTCTGCTGGTGTAAAAATGTTTTGAACCATGTCAGGGTCCCAGCATGCTGTTCTGGTCTCCTCCTGGGCCCTCTCCCTACTTCATTTCTCTTCCTCAGTTGCCATGTGTGGAGGAGAAGGGAAGAAGCTCTGTGGTCGCCTGGGGTGGCTTTCTGTGGCAAAGCTGCTGACAGACATTTTCATGTTCACCCTGCTTCCCGACAGCCTGGCTTCTGTCTTCTTGCCCAAGCGAACTGGAGAGGGAAACTCCTCTGGGAGGCCCAGGGATGGGAAGAGGGGGAATCCAGGACACAGAGTTGAACCAGGGTGATGAGTAGAGACAGGTAGATTGGAGAACCAGATGCTTAAGTCATAGTTAACGACAGCCCCTCAGCTTTTCCTGTTTTTCTCCATAAATTGTTGAGGAGGGTTGGAGGGAGCCGATAAAGGTGCGGTCCATAGATAGCTTCCTCCATTAGGAAGGATGTCTGCGGTGTTGGCCAGGAAAGCTAATGAGTTAATTTGCATATGATTTCCACAGCATGCCGTAAGTTGTCTAGGGTGAAAAGAAAGGGGAGGAGTGGAGCACAGGTGTCTTGACCACTCCCTCCCTACTCAACCCTCACAAGCTGGTCCCAAGCCTAGAGCTTCGATCCTAGGGCAGTAGCCCTTGTCCCATTCCCCACTCACTCCCCTAAGAACCCTGCCAACAGTAACCATGCCCGCCCCCCCAGAAACACATCCCAAAGGATCTATCTCAACCCCACAGGCAAGCAGCGTTTCTGCAACCTTTGGAGCCTGGCTACCATGCTCTCTCTCTCCCTCCCTACGCTGGGTTTCTTTTTCTGCTTTTCTCTTACCTCCCAGTCTCCCAACAAGAGCAGCCAATCCCCAGCCTGCTCTACAGCCACACCATATATGGAGAGGTTGGAAGGAAACCCGAGTAAAAGCGGGAGCGAACACACACACACACACACACACACACAGAGAGAGAGAGAGAGAGA